AAGGTGCTAATATCCAGATTATGTAAGTAACTCAACACAACAGCAAAAAAACAAATAACCCAATTAAAAAATGGATGAAAGACCTGAACAGACATTTCTCAAAAGAAGACATACAAATGGCCAAAAATCACATGAAAAAAAATGCTCGAAATCACTAATCATCAGGGATATGCAAATTAAAACCACAATGACATATCATCTCACCCCAGTTAGAATGTCTATTATCAACAAGACAGAAAATAACAAATGCTGACGGGGATGCAGAGAAAAACTCTCCTACATTGCTGGTGGGAATGTAAATTGGTACAGCTACATGGAAAGCAATATAGAGTTTCCTCAGAGAACTAAAAACAGGTCTACCTTATGTGCTAGCTACTGGATATATACCCAAAGGAAATGAAATCAATGTATTGAAGAGATACCTGCCCTCCCATGTTCATTGCAATGCTATTCACAATAGCCAAGAGATGAAATAGCTTAAGTGTCCATCAACACATGAGTGGATTTAAAAAACCGTGGTATATGTACACAATGGAATACTACTGAGCTATAAAAAGAAATGATATCTGATAATTTGCAGCAACATGGATGTAACTGGAAACCATCATGTTAAGTGAAGTAAGGCAGGCACAAAAAGGCAAATATGTGACACCAGAGGCTGGGAGAGAAGGGGTTGGGGATGGGGGAAGAAGAAGTAGTGCACTAACTGGTACAAAACTATGCTATCTACACTAAGTGAATCACTGTGCAGCATATGCATGTATTGAAACAACACACTGTACCCCACAAAAATAAATATAGATAAAATTGAAAAAAAAGTATGTGCTTGCCCTTTACTTTCTTTATCCACTCCCATGGGCTGACCATCATGAAGATGACACTCTAGGGAATGGCAAAAACTCTGTGGAAGGAATATAAGTCCAGGAATAACTTTATGGACTGTTCTGGATGGCTACATGAAAGAAAACCAATTATCTTATTTGAACTACTGTAGTTTGGAGTCTCTCTGTCACAGTGGCTTAGCCTATGTCCTAATAGTTTTCAATTTGGTACCAGGATGTTATGAACTGAATTGTAACCCCCGCTCAAATTCATAGGTTGAAGCCCTAACCCCCAATGTAACTGTATTTGGAGACAGGGCCTTTAAGAAGGTAGTTAGATTAAATAAAGTCATAAGGGTTAGTCCCTAATCCCATAGGACTGGTGTCAACAGAAAAAGAGGAGATTAGGACCAGGGAGACTAGCTTGATCTTGGACTTCTACCCTACAGAATGGTGAGGAAATTAATTTCTGTTGTTTAAGCCTCCCAGGTTTCGCTATTTTATTATGTTGCTCTAGCCAACTAATACATAGAAATGGAAAACTGCTGTCATAACAAAAATCTAAAATATGTGGCTTTGATATTGTTGCCAGGCAGCAGGCAGCAAGGAAAACAATATTGCAGGATGGAAAACTAGAGACCCTTATTATATTTGGACTAACCATTCAGTAAAACTGTCATCAGCAACAACTTGGAAGGCAGACTAGCCATGGGGAGAGTGGTTAGAAAAAATGAGAGGGTTGATGTGTATTGGCTGTTGATTGTTGTTGTTTAGTAAGGTAATATGAAAAATAGTTGATGTGAGACAAAAAAAAAACAAAAACAGTAACTAACTTGCTAGTAGGTAGCACAGCTTTTTGCAGAAGCTGTGTTGTTGTTGTTTAGTAAGGTAATATGAAAAATAGTTGATGTGAGACAAAAAAAACAAAAACAGTAACTAACTTGCTAGTAGGTAGCACAGCTTTTTGCAGAAGCTGTGCCTATGCTCTGAAGTCCAATGGCTTCTACACTCCAAACAGCAGGAGATGTGATGATTATTCAGAGACTTTCTCAAGAGTCTCCATTAAGTATTAATGGCCAGATAATGGGAGTAGGCTCAGCAGAAAAGACCAGATGAAGGACGTTGCATTCCCACTTAAACTCATACTTCCAGAAGGTTTCAAAGTGCCTGTCATTAAATTGATGGATGGAGGTATGGGTTAAGCACAGTGACTAATAAATAAGATGCTGCTGGTTTAAGAGCTATAGCCAGAGTAGCACTTTGGCTGTGTTTACTTTCACATGAACTGACTGAAAGCAAATGGACCAGAAACCCACTATATTTTTTATGAAAATATGTCACCAATGCTGTGATCAATCTTAATATGCCAGATGAACAACCCTCCAACCCAAAATTCATAGTAGATACTGTAAATTTGGTCACGATGTTGAGACTGATAATGCCACATACACACCAAGAAGAAATGAAAAGGTTTATTACTCACATACTGCAACTTTCCGGGGAGACACAACTGGGTCCCAAGCAGATCCGGAAATGGCTTATCTATCTGGTTTGGCTTTTATTGTTCTTGGAGTGTGAGGCTGGGGTGAAGATTCCTGCATGCAGGCCAGGGTTTGTAGGGTTGGAATTTCTTGCTGGGGACAAAGGAGGAGGCACCCAAGCTTCTATCGGTTTGCCCAGATGTGGAGCATAAGGAGAAAGGGGAATGGTGAGGCTTGAAAGCTGTCAACAAATATCAAAAATGGACTCAGAGTCTTTATTACAGTCAAATGAGCTATAACCATGGGCTATAAAAGCCTGTTTGTTTAATCTCTAAGGAAATTTAGGTCCATAAATCTGCAGCAGTAGGCAGGGAGGCTGCAAAAGCTTTCAGATGTGGCCATGGAGGCTGATGAGCAGGAATTTCCTAAAGATCAAACAAGGGGCCACAAAAGACAATGAACAAGAGAGTTTCTTCCAGGGAGCAGTCATAGTTTAACCAAGGAACTTACTTCCTGCCAGAGCAAGGGATCTTTGCCATGCCTGCTCAGCAGATTTTCATCATGGTGTGAGCCACTGACTGCTGTCCATCATTCTTGTCTTTTACTCTAGTATTCATTCTTTCTTTTTCCCTTTGAGTAATAGAACCCTTTCCCTGGAGTTTTAGCAGGGCACATGTCCATCTAGCTGGTGATAACATGCCCCAGCCTTCTGTGAAGCTAGGTATAGCTATGTACTAAGTACTCATGAATGAATGGGCCATGGGCAGAAGTGATGGGTGAAACTTTCTTAAAAGGAAATAGCTTCCTCTCTTTTCACAGCCTGGAAAGTGGAGGTGCTTCTGTGAGCCAGCTTTGACCATGGAATGAACAACATCCTTGATAATGAAAGAACAACAAGCAGACAAATCCTAGATCCCTTGATTACCTTGTGAAACAGAATTGCCCTACCCGCCCTGGACATCTCAACTATTTCTGGATTTCTGTGTCAGGAAGAAATAAACTTCTGTCTTAGATGAGCCATCATATTTTGAGGTCTCTTTGTTGCAGCTGATTAGACCATTTTCTGACTTTTACAAAAAGAGAATTAAATATTGAGAAGTCAAGCTTCTTTACCTTTTATAATCTTAAAATGTCTTCTTTTTGTTCTTTTGGGTTTTACCATTATAATTAAGGAGCCTCAAATTTAACCAGCTCTAATTCCAAGTAAGATTCTAAAACTGCATGAATTCAGTGTGCTTTTCCTCTTTTCCAAAAACCAACCTACAGAATACAGTTGTGTATACTCTTTGGGCCTAAATGGAAGCATTTAGTTAATATAAACGTATGAGTATCAAACATAAATGAAAAGTCAGACTGATATATATCAATTGTCTTTTTTCCAACACATACATATGTACATGCACTATTAAGTTTTATCTACTCTCTGTAATCAATTAATCATTGGTAACTGGACAAAGATAAAATAACGTAGACTTCATCTCCCACAATGTGATGCAAAGATAAGGATTTTCTCTGATTCCCAGTTTCGTGTTACTCTATGCTTCAGAATGGTTCACTGTGTTGCTAAGACAACGAGGATGCTGCAACAGAAAACTGGGATTGAAGTCAAGACACTGTAGCTGCTTCAAAGGATGTCATAAATAGTGTGTTCACGGCCTTGTTCCCCAGTGAAACCTGCAACACTTGAATTAGAAAAAAATGATCGGACTCATCCAACACCCTTCCATAGAAAAGTATGACTCTCAATTACTTACATTCTAAAATTAAGAAAACATTGGTATGTGGACTGGAAGTCAGGAAATCATCATTCCTTAATATATATATAAGTTCTAAATATATATATATATATATATATATATATTAGTATATATAATTTATATAACTAAACCTGTAAAAATAATTGAGGGGAACTGGTCCTTAAATTCTCAATTTGCCTTATTTTAATAGAAGCGTGTCTGAAGAATATCAGAAGCAAAAAGAAATTATGTTGTTGATAGTTCCTCTGTTAAAAATGTACATGTTATCTAAACAAAGGTTTGATTCTACATGGTAAATAACTAGGATAGGTTTGATATTCACTGAAGACCTGTGATTGATATTTGGAATTTGAGTTTATGAATAGATGCAAAGAAGCACGGTCTCCACAATGAGCTTTTGATAAGGCATAGATAGTTCAGCCGCAGCATTGGTGTGAGCTGGGTTGCATCTACAGGTTTGTCCCAGCAAACCGAACCACAGCAATCTTCCTGTTTTAACACCCATAACATTAAGGCGAGGACAAAGAAAACAAAATGCTTGAACTGATTTTGAATTTTTTTCCTGACCTAAAAAATTGAAAACAGCACTTAACCAAGCTGAAGAATGTCCTTCACATCACGTATATTCTATTGCATAGAGATAAAAATCCATCAAAAATAACACGAACAGATGAATAAAGAAGCCTTAGAGCTAGGACAAGCCTTCTTCCAAATTATTTCCCTCTCTTAAGAATCAATCTGGTGAAAAATAATGAAAAGGCAAAGGCAGGTGCTGGAGGATATGTTTTCCCAATCTTTGAGGGTCTCCTGCTGAAGAGATACAGAAGTGATTGGAGACCAAGTTACCAGTACAGTGTTTCTTTTCAAGTGAGAGTCAAAAGGGACTCTTTAATAGTGAAAACTGACAGTTATACAGTAAGGTCAAGACTTCTGCAGGGATCCTCACTGTCAAGTAGAAGTTTAATCTAGCAGAATCAAATGAAACCCAGAAGACCTTTTTATTTACTCTGGTATTCTAAGCATAAAAAAGGAAATAAAAAAGAACACAGACCACTCTATTTTAATATTTTTAAGTAGCATAAATCATAATGGTTTGTATACTACATTGTACAAATAATATACTGTTACTTTCCAAAGAAAATTAACTTCTTATAGGGTTTTTGGAAACGGTTACTCCATACAGCTAAGAGCTTTACCCTTAGCCAGTGCTACAACACATGGAATACAAGCTATGAGGTCCCAAGTCTTCCTATTGTGCCTGTTTCTGCTGCCACTGAAGGAGGAGCCTCTCAGAGACCTGTCGTGGCCCCTTCCATCTCCTGTGCCAGGAGACGCGAGCTCTGCAGGTTGATGTGTGCCCACGCATACAGCTTCTGTGCTTTGCTTTCCACAAGCCTACTCCCCTTTAAGAGAACTTGCGTTTCTTCATGGCTTCTGCCTTGACTGCCAGGCTCTTGGCACAGATGGTCAGGAGCACAATGAGAACACCCACCACAAATGTCACCAGGGGCCAGAGGAAGCAATGGAGGAGGACAATCTCATCATGGGTGCGATGCAGGAGCACGTCATCTGGTCTGCAAGACAGTGGAAAACAGAAAAGAAAGAGTGGTCAAATGCCTTGGCATGGCATTAAAAACTCTTTATTGCCTGGACTCAAACTTGCTTTTCAGCCCAAAGGGAATAATCATCATTGAAAGTGAAAACCTCACCCTGACTATAATTACTGTGCTTCGTGCTTCAAACCCATTACAAAAAGTTTTGAGCTCTCAAATCAAGTAATTGGTGCAAATTTGTACATTATTTATAATTTACATGTTGCAAAATGTCACAGTGTAGCAATGTCTCATGCTATTATTTTCCTCTATTCTAAGTTAACATATTCCCCTTTCTCATTCATCCTCTAATGTCCGCTGGTCAAGGGGATTGAATCACTCTAACAATTACTGTTGGGTGGGCATTCTCCAACAAACCCAAAGTAGACCTCAGCACTTAGGTGGGGCCCAAGTGATCTTAATTCAGAAAAAAAAATTGTCAATTAAAGCCACTGTTTGAATTTAGTCAGAAAGGGAGAGTGTGTAGCCCTCAAGTCAACTCAGAACTGATGCTGTGAACTAGGTTTTTAATCAATAAGCAATGGTTGAGTTGCATACATTTTTCCATGCTTCTGGGTGAGATTAGCCATCATTTTAATATATTGACCACTATAAACCATTGACCACTTTCTTGATAAATCTTGCAGTCTTAGCAACAGAGTTCTATCTTATCAACGTGGGGTTCTATTTTTCAATTCCTGAATTGGTCTCATTCACAGGAAGCGAAGATGAGAGACACTTCACAGCCATGGTCTTTCATCTTTGGCCATTAGAGAGAGATCCTGAGAATTTAAGCTTTCACACAAGAGGTTTACATTTTGCAAGATATTTCCATTGTATGTACAGGAAGGTTTGTTCTGTTATACTAGAGTAGCTGTGCTTCCTCCAGAAAAAGAAGAAAATAATGCAGAAAAATTAGTCCAATTGCCTTTAAGAATATCAGAGTACGAGGGCAGTGCATTTCACAGAGAAAAGCATTCCTGAGGAGCATTCATTAGTTGTAGCTCTCATAATTCAGAACCTATTTCTCCAGAAGACTGACAAGGGATGTTGGGTATTTATCTTTTACCTATAGTGGAGCTATTATGTGGTATTAACAGAAACAGTTTTGTAGACTAGTTTTGAAATGATATAATCCCTTCAGTTTTTTTTCCTTTGGTACATAATATAATTTCAAATTTTGCACATAAAGTGAGATTTTTTATTTCATCGATTTGATTTCATAGTATTTCAATTAAAATTTATATTAAGTGGATGCAGACCCATTGTAACAATTAGGCCCAAATCTTCCCAGCTTGCAGAAAATACACAGTTTTCTGAATTTCTGTAGCAATACATTGTCTTCAAGATTTGTGTTACCTCCAATTTATATCTATATATTAATGTATATATCCCTTTTCCTGTTAGGCCCTTTAGGGCCATGACTTTGCCACTGCTTGTTATTCTACATAGAGCTGCGACTAAATAATAGCTTGCTGCTGATAAAGAGGAGCCTGCCCCTGTTGCAGCCTAATTATCTGTGTGAATGCTCAAGAAACTTCATGCCTAGAGTCTAAAAGAATAGAGTCTGAAGTCCAAAAACAGGGCACCGGATAGTCAGAGCCACATTTTAGAGTCTTTGAAATCCCCATCCCCAGAACTGCCATGATTCTTTTCCCAGCTACAGGTGTTCACAGCTGTCAGATGCCTCTACCTAAGTGTGCAAAGGAAGGTAAAAACCATCTCTCATGATGATTGTTCTTTCTGCGAAGGTCTGTTGTACTCCTCAAGAATCTACTGGTAAGAAGACGAGTCCTAGATTCTTCATCAAAAGGGGTAAGGGTGCACAACATGAACGTACTTAATACCACTGAACTATACACTTAAGAACGGCTAAAATGTAAAAAGAAAGAAAAAGAAAAGAAAAAAGGGAAGGGAATAGGTAGGGGACTTGGATTTTTAACACTATTTTAATAAATGTACACATAATTTCCATAAGTAATGTGATTTTGCAACTAATTTTCTAGTAAAATGCTTCAGTGTGGGTCCTCTTTTGTATTTCTTTTCCAGTCACTATCACTGATGTTGAATTCTTTACTACAATTGAGCCAGAAAAATAGCCCAGATGAGGTGGTTGGAAAAATCACACATATTTTCCAAAAGACAGTTTGAAGAATGTGTACTGGAAAAGGATGTAAGTAAAAAGGAGAGGAGGAGACAAAATATAATAAATGGAAAATGCTGGACCCACATATTTGTCTTATTCAGAAACTTCTTGGCATTCCAGCATCTACAAGAGCCCTTGGGGCAAAACTTTATTTTTGTATGTTTGTTTTGTTTTGGGTTTTTTTTTGGGGGGGGGGGGGTTGTTGGTTGGTTGGTTGGTTTAGGTTTTTTTGGTTTTTTGTTTGGTTTGATTTTGGGATTTTTGGTGCCTAAACCCGGGAACGAATAAAACTTTATTTTACTTTTTCAAATGACAAAATGTTCTTCACTTTGAGTTAGCCATGTGGAATTTGTAATTACTTATCCTTCTTTGAGATAGAAACATTACATATAAATGTACACATCTCTTTAAAAATAATTTGTGTCTGTTTCCATTTCATACAACTATAAGGTGCCCCACAGTCTCCTTCAACAGGAAAAACTTATTTTCTGCAAAGTAATGCTGAAGTTATATGATTTGCTGAGATTCTCTCTAAGTTGCCCCTTGTGTCCTAATTAATGTCTAGCCCATTCAAATTGCATTGGTAGTGCCTTAACTGAAAGCATTCCCCTGCCTCAATTTCCTCCAATTTTATCAGGCAGGTGCCTTTCAGTTTGTTTAGGCAAAAATTGTTTGCAACAGTTTTCCATAATTATATGGTTGGGACCAAAGAGAAACTTTCTTTAAAAAAAAATCACTGTTGTTCACATTTGGAAAACTGGATAAATGACATAGTGAGATCTGAATATAATAGAGTAAAATCAGGATGGTAACAAGAATGTAAACAATAAGCAAAAAGGATAGTTACTCTGTATCTAAGGTCTTCAAAAAAGTAAGCAAGAGATTTCCTTTTGGAGTGTGAAGGACCAGTGATGGAAAGCACTTTTAAATCCTATATAAAAGAAAAGTAAGTGCTGCAGAAACTTACAGAAACTTTCCTATGGTTGGTGCTATACTGAGTCAAGCTTCAAGAGTATATTGTGATAACAATAATAGTCAACACTTACTAAAGGCTTACTATCTGCCAGGTGCTGTGGTAGGACATTTAATCTCATTTGATCCTTAAAATAACCCTGTGCTCAAGAAATTTTTAACTTTCACTTTACAACTGAAGAAACTGAGGCAAAGAAAGATTAACTTGTTTGTCCAAGATAACACAATTTAAAATAATGATAAAATGATTCAAAACCATGTCTGTATGATTTTTAAACCTGTACTATTTACCCTGAAGCCAGCTTTTCTCAGATGAGAATCACCTATCATGCTTGTTAAAATGCAGTTTCCTGGGTTTCAACCATTGATTTACTATATTAAAATCTAAGGTTGTGGAATCCAGAAATCTGCAATTTTGAGAAGCTCTGAGATGATTCTAATACACGTATACTTAAGTTCAAAAAGCACTGTATAGGGCCGGCCCGGTGGCGCACTGCTACAGTGCGCCGCTTGGGAAGCGCGGCAGCGCTCCCGCCAAGGGTTCGGATCCCACATACAGACCGGTTCCCGCTCACTAGCTGAGCGAGGTGCGGGGGCAACACCGAGGGTTGTGATCCCGTTGCCGGTCATGAAAAAAGACAAAAAAAGGAAAAAAAAAAAAAAGCACTGTATAAAGGTATAAAGTTCTAATCACTAAAGAAAAATATAGTATGAAACATGAAGCCACTTAGCTGGCTATTTCCCAAACCGCCTAATAGATACTTATGTCATGGCCTCCAGATACTTTTGGGCAGATTGTGCACTAAGATACCCCGGGATAAGACAGGAGAGCTGGGGAGTGGGAAGGAAATACAGTGATACTGGATTTGCCTAGAAGGGACCCTTTGTACTAATTGGCAAAAGGGCAAACCACAGCCTAGCAGCACTAGTAGTCAAACCATATAAAAAGACAAAGATTTGCTGTGTATCATCCTAAATAAAGAAAATATACTCTTTCACTTCCCCCCGCTTTTATTTGATGGTATGAGAAATTTCGTAAACTTAACCACTTCATTTAAACATCTGATGTGCATTATAATTTACTAGTATTGCATAACTGTACCAACTAAGAGAAAAGATGAGCCACTTGAGTGCTTTCTCCATAAGATCCTATAGGAAATAGAAATTTTTCTAGATTTGTTGTCACAAACACAATACTTCTCACTTATCAAGCAGAGAATTTTCCTTTACTGTAGGCTGCTAGAAAGTTAAAATTTTGGCCCATTTCAGCAAGACAATATGATACTCTTGTGCCAACCACACTCCTAATGCTTTGCCTTTTTTTCTCAGACTTTTCTTATTAATTTTGTCTTGCTAAATCCTCTTAATCATGGAAGAACTCATTAAGCCCTTCTTAAAATAAGCATATATCAAATATCTACATTTACATACTAGGTAAACAATAAACCATGGGAGCTTTTTAGCTGTTAAGCTTTACTCATATTTCTGCAAGAAATAATGTATTAATTACATCATTATGAGAATTTGTACTGAAGTATTTTGATGAAATCTTGTTTTAAAGTCTAAAACACTTCATCATTATCACAATTACAAAATAATTCTGCAGGCATAATTTAGTCCAATATGCCAGGCCTCTGGTGTATCAGCAGAACGACACAAAAAAGTAATGATTTTATCCTTTTGAATAGATGCTATCTAGTCCTGCTCTAAATCTTGTTTGTTATTTACAACATGACCTCCTTTTAAAAAGAATTGAAATAGATAACAAAAACAAAAAAGTTGGGTACAATAAAACCCTTAATCTGACAGTAAAGAGCAAGTGCAATGTAATTAGAATGGTAAAAAAACCAAAAACAAACAAACA